ACAGGCATCTCCGCTTAATAATGTCTTCGTAATCAATGTCGTTCGCTAATAGAAGTCTTACTAGAATTTAATTTGTAGACCCAAGGTTTGGAAGTTATCGAGGAATTAAATGGTGTGTTTTAGGGGTTGATTTCACAGCTAGGTCTAACCTAGTGATCAAATCTTAAGTACTCTAGCGCTATTCCACCTATGTTGTACTGTTACTAACATAAGACATGGGATGTGACATTTGGTCGTATTTATTTTAAAAATATTATATTTCGATAAGATATATTTTGATATTAAATAATATTTTAAATTATATAATATATATTATATCTAATATTTAATAATAATAAAAAAAATTAAATTTATAATACCTATCAATTTTATAAAAAACATAAAATATTTTAAATTTTATATTAAATTCAATAAAATTATAATCATAATTCAATAAATCTAATAATTGAAACTAAAAACATAATGCAACACAATATTTGATTTTTATTTTAAAATTTCTGCAATGTGTGTTAGAGTGTCGAAATCTTGAAAAATGTGAACATAACACTTCAGAGTTTTTGAAGTATTCGTATATCATTGCACTCTAGTAATTCGAATATGACACATCAACATCCTATATTTTATGAAGAGTGAACAAAAATAATTTTAATATTATAAATATATATTCTTTAAAATATATATTTTATAATTTTATTTTCATCTACTGTCTCACTAAATATTAATTGGGCCGGAGTATATTAGATTTTTCCCTAATCTCAGTCAGCATTTGAAACGGTTTATTGATTAAGACAAGTTTTAGAGGCTTATTAAAGCTTGAATTCTAATGCTACGGTCATCACTTTTTTTTGTTGTTGTTGTTGTTAGCTTTCCCTCTTAATTAATGCATCCCAAGCTTACCGATAGGGATATCAATAGAGTTTTGGTGGGGCTGAAAATTTTGAGTTTTAGGAGGTGTTTGGTAGAAGAGAAAAATTTTTTGTTTAAAAATCTCAATTTTTAAAAATATAAATTTTACATTCAGTTTACGATAATATTTAAAAATTTAAAATTTAAAAAAATTTAATTTCTCAATATTTTTGAAAAAATGGTCGTACCAAACGGCCCTGACGCAATAGAGGAAGGGGATAGCATTAGGCATAGCAGCTACCGTTTGGCTTGCATTCAGATTTCTTGAGTCAGAGTGAGGCATTAAAGAGTTGTTTTGTTTTGGTAAGACCGCAATAAAGCAAGGGAACGGTGACACTTCCATATCAGGCGTACGGCGTACCCACCTCATCATTTCATCATGCCAATCCTGAATTTTACTTCTATCCTCTCTTACACCCATCAAATCAAATCAATCCTCTTCTTTCTCTTTACTTGCAAGCTTTGAATGATTCTCGGAAAAGTGATGAAAATATTATTATTCATCGAGTTTTTTATTTAAATGCGAACAGTATTATTTTTTAATATGACACGTGAGTAAGTTTTTTGAGTACTGTAACGAACTCAGTTTACTGATATATCACATTTTTTGTGGACATCAAATTCGTTACCTAAAATAGCAAACTTAGTTGCAATTTGATATTTGTGCCTGCTCTCAATTTTTAACCTCCATTTGTGCTTGCAACCAAGTTCGCTATCTTAAGTAACGAATTTGGTGTCCACCAAAAATATGACACATCATTAAATTGAGTTCATTATCGTGTCCAGCAAACTTGCTTACAAGTCATATTGGAAAATAATACTATTCGCATAATATTTGAGTAAAAAACTTGATGAAGAGTGACATTTTGATCATTATTCCATTATGAGAGTTATTAATCTTATGTCACATAAGATAAGTATCTTATATAAGTGAAACAAAGTTGTGGGACTTACAATTTTTAAGAAAATATAAAAGAAAAAAAAATAAGCACAAAATTCTATAAATATTCAACATGAGATAGTTGTCTTATGTGACCTAAGACAACTATTTCCTTATACATCATGTGTTGCCCATATTGCCTTCATTCTCACCCTCTATTTTTTTTTTTTTTTTTTATAACATTCTCACCCTCTATTTAACTCCTTTGTGCAAACGGTGTCCTTCTTGCTTTTCTTTTAAGGTATTAGTTTTAAAAATAATTTTATCTCTCTTTTTTTTATAACATTTTATCTCTTATTTATATATAAAAGTATATGAAATTAATATATTTTTTTTACTCTCTTCACATAATTTTCATATAATTTCTATATGTGTATAAAAAATAATTTTATTTTTTATAATATGAGAAAAATTAATCTCTTATTTTAATCATCACCAAAGAAGAAATGAGAGCTTTGTTCCTTGTGGTTGTTTTGGAAGTACTTGTTCTTTCATAATTTTAATTTTTAACACGAGTTAAATTTAATTAATGCAAAATCTATACTACTAAAAGAGAAAAAAGTTGAGAATATATTCTGTTTTGAGACACGGTTAATAAGTCAAAAATAGAAGAAGAAAAAATCGTTGGTTCAACTGAAAAAATTATTCCAATTTCCATCCAAAATTGAATTAAATTAAGCACTTATGCAGATTCAATTTTATTATCTCCTTTAATTTTCCAAATCTAAATTTCACAGATACTAAACTAAATGATCCAAAAACAAAACTGATAAATATATTTTTAAAGTTTTAATAAGCGAATTTTGTAAAATACTGTTTAAAAAGAAAAAAAATCGTGTGTGTTTGCTTTTGTTATTTTTTTTTCTTTTTACTGATGGTATCTGGTATGCTTTGCTTCCTAGGTATAGTGCATATGCTGCTATTATTGAGGTTTGAAATCATCGGGCATGGAGATATGAAATTTAGGGGGTGTTTGGTAGAATTCTTTTTTTTTTTTATCCGGGAATCTCTATTTTTGAAAATATAATATTTACATTCAGTTTACGATAATATTTGAAAATTAAAAATTTTAAAAAAAAATTATTTTTTCGAAAATTCTACTAAATATAAATGTTAGTTGGATGTATGAAATTTTCCCACATTTCAGATATGTTATTGTAGAAAAAATTTATTAGTTTAATATTTAAATAGTTATTTAATATCTATTTAACACATTTTTTTAATTACGGGAGCTAGATTTTTGACAAAATTTGCATCTCCTGTCTAACTTTTCTTAGGAACAGTGACCATTTTGTCATGTTTGGACAAAAAAATTATCAGACTGTCACGCGAACAGTAAATTTTGCCAAACTGCCACGCGGCATAATTCGTTACACAGTGTAGCCAATTATGCATGCAAGTAATTCGCTACACAGTGTAGCGAAATATGCCACGTCAAAACCAAAAAGTGCCACGTGTCAAAATTGTTGAAATTCGCTACCTTATGTAGCGAATTTCAACAATTCTGACACATGACACTTTTTGGTTCTGTGCATTCTGACGTGGCATATTTCGCTACACTGTGTAGCGAATTACTTACATACATAATTCGCTACACTGTGTAGCGAATTATGCCGCGTGGCAGTTTGGAAAATTTTACTGTTCGCGTGATATTCTGATAATTTTTTTGCCAAAGCGTGACATTTTGATCACTGTCCCCTTTTCTGTAAAAAAGTCAAAAATTTTGCAAAAGCCTAAAATTTAGGGTGACAGGAGAAAGTATGGACATCTTGTCATAACAATCACTTTTACACTCCCAGAAGCCAATAAGGCATTTTTTTTTTGAAAAATGTTGATCTTTTTAAATGACACAATTTATATTCTTTCACTATCTTAAAGAGGTGGGACTCACACTTTTTTTTTGTCAACTCTTTCTCCTCCTTTATCTATCTCATAAAATAACACAACTTTATATCCTTTAAAATGACACACACTTTACCATTTTTTGTTTTGTTTAATTCTTCTCCGTAATCTTAGAAATACTACATTTCAAGATTAAGAAAGGGAGTTATATTATTGGAGATAATTTTATTTTTTATATTTATAAAAAAATATGTGAGATTAATTTTTTTTATATGACTTCATATATTTTTAAATGTGTTGAAATATAATTTTATCTCCTACAATATAAAAAATACTAATCCTTGAGAAATATACTATAAAAGTTTTGATAATCACTTTTCAAATTATTAGTTAAAAATAACATAGTATTATTTATATTGAATCTAAAATGATGTCGTTTTGAGACGAAAATTAAGGTATTTTTGTAGTTATAATTTATTTTATGATTATATTAGTCTTTTTTATTATAATTTTTTAACTTCTCAACCCAAAATGATATCATTTTTTGAACGAATATAAATAACTTATCTACATTTAATATAAAAACATTAAATTGTACAGGGTTTATATCTCTTAAGTTGCTGCACCAAAATAAATTTGCAATTTAGACAGTAAACAAGAGAGAGAAAGTGAGATGAGGATAGAGAAAATAAAATTGGTGGTCCCCACATGTTTATTGTATGTGCTGCAAATTTATTTTGGATGTAGTAATTACATAAGTGATGTAAACCCCTATTTTTATTCAATAACCATTAATTTAAAACAAAATATTATTATAAAGAAGTTAAAAGTTTTAGGGAAATGTAAGACATGATACAAATCATACATTTTGTATCATGTTATAAACATAAAAATGTAAGATTCACATTTTTATGATTTTTATTTTTTATTTTTTTAGTGGAATCAATATTTTTTTTTTTTTTTTGATAACAGAATCAATATTTTTTTTGTGTCTATAGAATGATACAAAATACCTCACGTAACAATGTAACATGACACTCTCCCGAAGTTTTATATCATGAAAATGAAATGTGAAATTAAAAGAAGATGGAAAAGAAAAGAAAAGAAATGGAATATGATTCCACATTTAGGAAACAGAAGGTAAAAAATAAAAAATGCCACTGTAACGCAAACCTGTCGGCGTAAACCCAGACTGTCCCCACCTCTATTTATATCCAAATCCCACAAAGAAACACTTTAACATTAACTTTTCTCTCTCTATCTCTCTCTATCTCTTTATCTCTCTTTTTGTGTGTGTGTGTGTGACTCTGCTCTTCTACACTCATGCCTATTGACGCGCTTCCGATTCGGAAGGACTCTCCGCCGTCGTCGAAACCCGTGAGCTGCGGCGGTCCTCTGCCCAAGGAGGCGCATTTCAGGGGAGTGCGGAAGCGTCCATGGGGCCGTTTCGCCGCCGAGATCCGTGATCCTTGGAGGAAGACCCGCAAGTGGCTTGGCACCTTTGACACAGCCGAGGAAGCCGCCAGGGCCTACGACAACGCCGCCAGGAGCCTCCGTGGGCCCAAGGCCAAGACCAACTTCGCCTACGTCGTTGCTCCCCCTATTCGACTGCCACCCGCGGAGGTCGCTGCCCCCGCCGCCGGGAACGTGTTTTGGGTTCCTCCGGGGTACTTCGTGACGGATGTAGCAGCTCCGGTGAGGTCGGAGTACAAGGGTTACATATTGGAGAATATTGTGGTCAACAACGAGGAGGAAGAAGAGAAGAAGCCATTCTTGTTCGATCTTAACGAGCCAGCGCCGCTCTTCTGAAGCCGCCGGCGTAGGATGTCGCGTCGACGGCGACTAAGATTTTTTTGTGATTTTTTTTTTTTTTTGTGAATTTTGGATGCTACTTTGTGCACTTGTTGCTTTGTACAGTTTAGTTTATAGGTTTGGAGAAGAATTTTCATTATTGCAAGTGGAAGTAACCCTTAGACTCTCCCTCGGAATTTATTTTAACACGTACATCTGATATGTGATTTCTGTTTTCTTATTGGCTCTTGATTTTTGTAATGTTGATGTGAAAATCACTCAGTTTATGCTTAAATGCATAAGTCAACAATATTACTAGGGAGAACAATATCTGCTTGTAAATCCCGGCTTAGAAGATCTTAATGGAGGAAAATTCAGAAAATAATAAAAACGGTTTTTATTTTTTCAATTTGTTGACTGGTTCTCTTATTGATGTTGCTAATGCTCACCGTGGCATGGCAATGTTGAGATATATAGTCCCATATTGGTTGTATGTGTAATTAATGTGGAGTTTATAAGGTTTTGGGTACTCTCACCTTTAGAGCTAGCTTTTGGAGTGATGTATCACATGATTCTTTACATGGTATCTTAGCACAGGTAGGCTGGCCTGTTGCATTGTCCACTTTTCAAGCCCAATAGGCTCTTGTGTGAGGGAGCGTGTTGAGATATATAGTCTCACATTGGCTTTTTGACCCTTATAACCCTTTGTTAATAATTAATTATCAAATTGACCTTCATTATAAACTATTTCAAAAATTTAACCCCCTCAAAAAACATAACACCAATCTGCTCTTGTTTGACCGTTGACCAGCAAGCTTTACCCGGGTACACTCCTCTCTACCCGGGTATTCAAAAAATACCTGGATATGGAGGGGTGTACCCAGGTATTGTTCTTGGCACCTGAAAAATTGTTTGAATTATTTACCAGGGTAGATAAAGATGTACATGGGTAAATCTCCAACACATTCAAATATGCGTTGTTTATATGGTTATAGGTGTTGTTCCTACTTTCTTCTTCGCAGAGACAAATTGACATGCTTGCTCCACATTTGACTTGACTCAATAGTCATAAAAAGTTCACTGATTTAATTTGGCCAGACTAAGAATAGGGATTTAGATGCAGATTTTTTTCCTTCTAAAAACATAAAGCTTTTGAATTGCCAGTTGAGATGGTGCTACTATTGCATCATTGGTAGTATATCATGCTAACCTGTAATGTGCTTCTGGTGGAACATTGTCCTATGTGACTGAGTTTCTTTCGGAAGTTACGGTGTCATGTTCATGTCATAGTAAATCATTATCTCGTATCTTTCCTTCTTCTGCTGCTCAGAAGCTTGACCAATCAAAGCTGCAAGAGGAGAAATGTTGGTGTACAACTGTTTCTGGTCAAAGAAAGTGAAGAGACGACCAAAGTGGATGGAAGACTAAGAAGAGTAGAATGTGCCAAAGTGGGGTGGGCAAAAACAAGGGCCAAGAACAATTTTCCAACTGTGGGGTGTAATGGAGATTTACCCGGGGTACACCCTTACCTACCCGGGTAAATCATTCAAACAATTTTTCAGGTGCTAAGAATAATACCCGGGTACACCCCTCCCTACCCGGGTATTCAACCCGAGTAGGGAGGGGTGTACCTGGGTAGGCTTGCTGGTCAACGGTCAAACATGGGCAGATTGATGTTATGTTTCTTGAGGGGGTTAAATTTTTGAAATAGTTTATAATGAAGGTCAATTTGATAATTAATTATTAATAAAGGGTTATAAGGGTCAAAAAGCCATCTCACATTGGTTTATGTGTAACTAATGTGAAATTTATAAGGTCTTGGACACTCCTACCTTTAGAGTTAACCTTTAAGATGACGTATCCAAGAAGATTTTTTCAATTCGGTGTTTTCAAGAGGAAGTAAAGTAAAGGTATAAACCAAGGATTTAAAATTTAAAATAGAAAACGGAGAGAAAGTGATGCGTGGTTTTAAATTTTAATGTAGGCGGTGGTGCGGCGCCCAAAGGCCACAGAGTTAAGACTTGCTAATTAAAATTTTGATTTATTATTATTCTATTAATATTTCAATTGATTTATGTTTTTATATTTTTTTATGTATGTTTTTTGATTTTTTAATCTCTTTTTTAATTTTACATAAAATCTCGATTTTAATGCGTTGCTTGAGACCCGTGTTGTGGCTGCGCGTCTTCCTTTTTGGCGGTTGTTCTCTACAAACGCTGAACAGTTAAACTGAACCTGTCTCCGTGAGATCAACTCTTTCGTTATTAAAATTTGACTAAAATATAAGTTATCATCTTGAACTTTGATTATATGTTAAATAATTTTCTTATATTTTTAATTATTTCAATTAATCCTCTGTATTTTATAATTATTTCAAATCAATAATTCTGTTAAAATTTTTATAAACTCTACTTAAATCTCCTCCTATACACTAAACTCCAAATCTCAAAAAAAAAAATCTCTCTTTTCTTCTACTTCTCCCATCTCTTATTATAATTTTCTTTGTAAAAATTGCTTTGCTTGCAGCTGTTTCCTCTGAAAACATGTTCAGGAAACAGATATCTTGGCCTACTCCTATTGTCCATAAAGAGGATGAAGCGGCAAAAGAGGAAGAATCAAAAACTTTTGAAAGTTCTAGTGCACTATCTCTAACGACACTTACATCGCTTCTGATTGAATTTGTGGCAAGGCTTCAAAACCTAGTGGATTCATTTGAAGAATTAGGTGAAAAAGCAAACTTTATGAATCCTCTCCAGCAATAACTTATAAAACACCGACATTTTAAAAATTCGGACGTGTCGTGTTCGACACTTTCTGACTCTAATCGACACTTCAATACTTGTTGCAAAGACTAAATTTTTTTTTAAAGATTACGTTGTATTGCATTTTGAGTTTCAACTATTAAATTCGTTAGATTACGATTTTATTGAGTTTAATATAAACATTTGAGATATCTTATATTTCTTTGCAAAATTGATGGGTATTATAAGTTTAGCTTTATTTTTTGTTAAATTATTGAATACTAAATATAATATACACTATATAAATTAAAAATATTATATAATATCAAAACGTGTCCTAATATGTCAAAATTTAATATTTTTTAAAATTAATGTGTCGTGTTATATTCCGTGTCCCGTATTGGTGTCGGTGCAACATAAGCAACATCTGGTGGGTTCGATTGTTTATCTTTTGAAATTCAAGGATTGCAATAGAAGGGAATAAATTTTTAGTCACTGCACCCACTTAAATAACAGTATATGAACTCACCTAAGTGTAATTATACTCATTTTCTTAACAACTTATTTATTTCTAATGTCACCTAAGTCGATGTGTTATAATTTAAGTGGGTATAGTATGAACTACGACTAAAAATTTATCCCTTGGGAAGCTGCTAACTTCATCTTCCTCCTTTGTTTATGGATTGAAAAGGCTGATTGATCGTTCAAGGGTCATTTCAGTCTTTCCATAATCTGAATAATGTAACACTTTTTAGTCCTATCCATAAAGATCCAAAGAAAATTGTAATAAGAGATGGAAGAATGTAGAAAAAAAGAGAGAAGAAATTTTTGAGATTTGGGACTTAAGAGCATGTGAGAAGGTTTAACAGAGTTTGTAAAATTTTTAACAGGATTGTTGATTTGAAACAATTATAAAGTATAACAATTAAAAGTACAAGGGGATAATTTGAAACATGATCAAATTTCAAGGGAGTAACTAATATTTTAGCCTTAAAATTTTGATTTATCACTATGATTGTAAGTTTTAATAATTTTTTCCATCAAAATAATTTTATTAATTTTTCAAACGCTTTTACATTTTTATAATTTTTTACGATTTTTTTTACCTTACGATTTTATATTTTATGATTTTTTAGCACCCTTTTAATTATACATAAAATCTCAATTTTAATAACTTGAATACATCAATTATCTGGTTAGCGGTTACTAATATTTATTTGGCATGCACGGTTTGTTTTGTTGTAGATGATGTTCCTTTTATTCTTATTATTCTAAAGACATTAATATTTCTTATGAAATGATTTTATCTTTTATGTATATATAAAAATATATTCATTAATGTCTTATGAAATGATTTTATCTTTTATATTTTTATAGATACATATTTCTTTTTTCTTTCTTTTATCTTCACATGGACTCATATAAGTCCCATATATTTTTATGTGTGTAGATGATATAAAATTATCTCTTACAATAAGAGAAATATTAATTCCTATTTTAAATTACTTAACATAATAATAAACAGAATACTCTTTTCATATAATACTCTAGTCTCTTTTATGATATTCTCCACATGATAGTCACATTTATTGATGTTCTTAAATATTCATGAAGAGTATATTGTAAATGAATTATGCTTATTTTCATTCACAAAGAATAAATCATAACATGCGAGCAAATAAGGCTCTCAATTATTTGCTTCAATGTATATTAAAAAACGCGGTGGTAAAATTATCTTCATGCATAATTAGTTATTTTAAATTAAGAAAGTGATTATTGAGATAGAGTTTTTTATGGTATAGTGGTGCTACTGATATTAGAACTAATGATCCAGAACTACATTAGCATATTGGAAATTGAGAACATACAGATACAAAGTAAATACGATATATTGTAGTTTATGTTGGAAATTCAAAACACACAATTCGAATAATGAAAAGAAAGGGAAGAGAGATTTGGCACAGTAATTTATCTTGATTCATCCAATGTAGACTACATCCAGCTTGTTTATATTATATTCACATCACTACACTCGTTACAACTTACAAGTGATCACTTGATTTACAAAGAAATATAAATAGAATTTAAAAAATTATAACAATAACTATTCATTAATCCAAACCCAAACTACTAAGTAAAAGAAAATTATAATATGACATTGTCTTTATGTTGACTTTGCCAATAAGAATTCTCATCAATATGTAAAGTATGAGTTATACCCAACAATATTAAAGAGTCTGCTCACCCTAATATAAAAAGTTCAACCACCTACTACATGAAAGTTAAAATAAAATAAAAAATTAAAATAACAGTAATGAAATAACAGAATTAAAATAACATCAATTGGGTTGTGCTACCAATTCTCCGTAATCAACGAATGGACCATTAGAATAAGGCATAGAGTAGTCTTTCAAATATGCGATTGGTCTGTCAACTCTTCTAGTTATAGTTGTGAACTGTATTCATTGTGATTTGTGAGGTAGTGGC